GACAGAAGTCAATCCAACGCTGAAAATCGAAAAAGTCTTAAAAAGTAAAAACCCCATTGACTAAAATTCATTATCTTTAAACATTGTACGCTTATGCCATTCCATTAGTAGTTTATGTAGCCAAGTCCCAATCGGATGCTGCAATTCCATTAGCGACCTGCATTGGCATCAGAGTTGCACCTAGATTCCTATATGAAAAACTGCTGGAATCCGCTAGGGGCGATATTGAACTTCAAATTGTGTTTTTTTGCCTATTTTTGTGTGTGTGTGAACCTTTTATTAAGGCTTTCATCACCAGATAAGACGAATTTAAAGTGACTTCTAAGATCCTAGGCCTAGGTACTATAAGAATATATTTTATATGATTTAAACTTTTAGTTACGTAATCGAGGGCGCGATTTTTAAATTCATTGTTGCCAACCATGGACATATTCGGGGCAGTGGTGACTAACTAGAATTTAAATTTCGCGCTGGGAATTCAGGTGGTAGCTCTGCTGTAAAGAATGTCACGTTGCCGCATTTATTTATTTATTTCCGGACATTATCATTCGTTTTGACACACACAGTTTAGTATTACCACAAAACACCCCGCTTTAGAACTTTTTCTTTAATGGCCATAAGCGGGATGAGTAAAGGACCAACCGCCCGAACAAACACTAGAGGCGCCACCGGTCATCAGATGGTGTAAAATTGCGAAAATTTAATCATCTAATTTTGACACAAGTGGTCGCGCTTAACTTTTTCAATTTTAATTCAATATTCATTGTTTTCAAACTATATTATTAGACTTTGTTGTATTTTGTGAATGTATAAATGTTTTCTTAGTATAAAGTTGAATATTATAGTAATTTAAATTATATTACATACATATTTAAGATTCAAATATTATGACATATATGTCAGTTGCCGTCTAAAATATCATCTTGATAAAAAGTTAGTTATTGTCAAAAGTAGTTAAAATCATGTTAAAATATTAAAATTTACAAGTTATAATTAGATATTTTATATTATTTCAACAACAAACACATAATAGTACAGCGTAATATTAATATGCAGGTCCAAAACAAAAAGTGCCGTTATATTTTTCAGTTTTCGTTGTCAGCCACGGAAGTTTCAGTGATTTTAGTGTTGTCGGATATTTTTATTTGTGAAATAGAAATATTGCGTTTGGATTGCAAAACTAAAAGCGGAAGTTTTATTCCAATGTAAGTAAGCGTTCGTCCATTTTATATTTTACTTTTTTCATGCCTACGACAAATATACATACATACAGGGTATCCCAGAAATAAGTGCAAATATTTTAACTGGTAGTATAGTTCAACCCCAGAAACACGCCTATGAGGTTTTTTTCGCGAAAAAAAATTTGAAAATTCCAAATTTTTTGAAAAATTTTTTGGTTTGGTTTGGTTTGGTAGTACTATAAAAGTTTTTTAGATTAAAATTTTAGGTATATTTAAATATTATGTGATTATACCAATTAGTACCGTTTCACATAGAGCGGTCCTTCCGCGCTGATGGTCCCTGTTGTGCCGTTTCACATGGAGCGGACCGTCCGGTCCGTTTGTTGAACAAGTACCATGAGCGTATATGAATATTTTCACATAGGTGCGGATGATCCGTCCGACAAAGAGTCTGCGCGCCATCGGGCTTTATGATTAAAAACGTTGTTTAACATGCGCAGATTGGCTGCACAGGTGAAAGTACCCCGTAAAAATAAACACGATAGTCCGCGTCGAAAGACCGATTTAAAAACCGAAAAACTTTTTAAAACCGCCGAAAGTCAGAAATTACACCTGTAGACACCTTGCGGGAATAACTAATCAAGTGATAAATTAATCAGTTATCGACCCAGGGTTGAAAACTATTGAATTACTAATATCGCTATTAAAAATATGTAGGGGTTGATGGTTAGGTGGAAATTTAGGGTTGTATGTATTTCTTTGTTCCACATCATAAAAAATAAAACATTTTGACAAAAAAAATTGGGGTGGACCACTCTTATCACTTAGGGGTATAAAAAATAGATGACAACCTATTCTAAGACCTACTAGATATACCTAGATATACAATTTCATCAAAATCGGTCAAGCCGTTTCGGAAGAGTATAGTAATTAAAACTGTGTGTATATTCTATAAAACAACCGTTGTTATTTATCAATCATATTAACACTTATATCCAGTAATAAATTAAACATGATAGGTGTCAGATACCTACATTCAAGTGTCATATTTTAATGCATCTATTTATGTTCTAACCTTTTTAGAAATACAAGATTAGATCAATAAGATTTATTTGATAGATATGGGTTTAACTTCTGTTAAGCGTTCAATTTAATATTTGTGATCTAAAATTACCTTTCAATATGCACATTAATTTTGATGTGACATTAGTTCACTGTGGTTTTAGTAAATAGAAAATATAAAGGTTTCATTAAATAACCTTAAATACTTTTCTTCTAAATATAAAGGATAATACAAAGATGTCCTTGTTATATCAAAATTGGACATAGAGTACCGACAAATTTTAATCAACACAGTAAAAGAAACGATTTTATGAGTGTAAAACAATTAAATTTAAATGTTTATTTATTTAAAGTCCCAGGTCGCTCATATATGGTGTGCCTTATTTTTTTATGGTACATAATAATAATCCTACCGCTTGTAAAACAGCATGTTATTACTCAATGCTAAGATATTATGTGTGGGTTATAGCGAATCATTCTACAACACTTAACATCTTTAAATGAATACAAGCATCCATTATTGCATATAGGAGTGAATTTAAGCCAAATCGATTTATATTAGCACCGATCATTTTTGAAGTAAAATTACTGCCAAAATAAGAAGGTGGAGATGTTTTCGACATTGTTTCAGTTGGAAAATTTGGCTGTGTAATTTTAAAAGCATATTATGTAAAACGCAATGATGACTTACTCTTGAAACTAACAGTAACATGGTCAGTCCTTCTAATACAAGGTTTTTTTAGGCAATTGGTCCATTTAAAGAGTTTTAGGATTTAATTTAGATACAAATTCGAATATTTAAAATTAAAGGTAATTCAAAGTGTTCTGTCTTTAAAAGTTGAATTAAAATATATATTTTGCTGCTAAGGTTAATCTGGACAAGTCCTACTTTGTTTATGGGAAATCTGAACCGCAGACTTCGGTCATAATACACTAGCCGAAACAAAAAACGGATACCTTAAAATTTTAATATATTTTGTTGTAGTGAGCCGATTTTGATGATTTTTTATTAAGCAGTATGTAGCTAATTTTTTTTTACTTTTTAGTATTTCTTTTTAAATTAAAAATTAAAGTTCTCATGTGTCAATTATACGAGGGAAAAAAATTTCGATATTTTGGTAAAAGTTTGAAACATCCTATGGAATATGTTAAGACAGCAAGGAAATTAAAAATAATTTTATCATTCACATACATCCTTTCTAGATAGTTTGATTTTTGGTTCATCTCAGTAGCTTTATTGTAGTTAGAGATATTCGCTTTTGAAGTAGACATGCCTAGTCAACAGACCTAGTAAGTAAAGCCTAAAAAGTAGTTTTAGTAGTAAGCCTCCCGAAGCAGGCTTTCTTGACATAGGATGGCTCGCTTAATCTTCTTCTTACAGTCCGTTCACTTACATGTACGTTCCTCAAATACAATTCATTTTAAATTTGAAAAGCTGGCAAACGGCGCCGGTCGGCGGTTTCTTAGCCATAAACTTACAACAACGCGATCGTCTCATTCTGGTTTATGGATGTCTAAGCATATGAACTTATCTTGAGGAAATGACTGCATTGTACTTAGTACCCACCTAAATCTGTTAGCAACATAATTTTAATCTCTATCATTTTCAATATTAAAGTAACTATAACGGATACACCTTCTGGACTTAAAACCATCTCTGCTAGAGTAACTGCCCAGACAATAATAATATTATTTTTCAATAACTGTGACATTACATAAATCATAAACACTATTTCATAGATCTGTTGATTTGAACCAAAAAAAAGGCACGGTTGTAATGAAAAAATTACGAACAAATGTTAGTGTCTACAAAAAAATAAAGTTAACCAAAAAATAACCTATCGGCAAAAGATGCACATAGATGATAAAATGATTTTCAAGGTCCTTGCTTTTTTAACATATTCCACAGGGTTTTCTAAACTTTCACCAAATTATCAACATTTTGTGTTCCCTCATATAATTGACAGATGAGAAGTCAAATAATTTTGCTACAAATTGGGCTTAAAAGATCATCAAAATCGTCCAACACACTTTACTTTAAAACTTTAAAGTACATCAAACCAACTTTAAAGTACATCAAAATTTTAAGGTGCCTGTTTTTTGTGCCAGTTAATGTGACACCCCTTTCTCTACTTCCTAAGAGTCTTTTAGTTTATAAACTGCTGATGATGCTAACATGGTTAGCGAAACGCGCGTCCAGTGTAAAAGTAAAAGTGTTTTGCTGTATTGTGGTGATTTAGTGTTTTTATTTTACTTCTTAATCTTGATCAAGACTTGCGATCCTCAGTCATATAACCGATAACGGCTTATCGACTTAGCGAGTGTCTAAATCGACTTTTACGGAATATCCTATCTTATTCAGCCTTTAACAGGCACGAATGAGCATGTGTCTCAATAGATTTCGAATTTCCATCTCTTGCCATGAAACAACAGCATGCACGACAAAGTTTCCAGACGTTCACCCGTCCATACACTTATACCACCTAAAGTCGCTTAACTTTTGTGTTTCGAACGGTGTTTCGACGTAGTTAGGCCCTTGCCCGTGTTCTTTCTTTTTAAAATATATTCCACTTTCTGACAATTTTCGGCTTAACTTGGAGTGGCTACTATTTAGCTTATTTCAAATAGAATCATCTACTTTATTTTTGATTTTTAAATTTTACTTTTTATAATTGTAACCACATTTTGTGTTTAATGTCATACATGACATAAAGTTTATCCAATATCAAATATTTTCAATTTTTTTATTCCTTTTTTTTTTAAATCACCTTTCAGGGTTCTTGGAGAGATAGCCGGGTTATTTTAATCAAGGCAGTCTCTAGTTTGCGTAAAGGAACGATCTGACTATGCGTGCAGTTCCCAGAATTACAGCTTTTTGAGCGGTGGATAAAACATTTGGCGATAGTCCCAAATCTTTAGTATGTCGCACAGTTTGCTGATGTATTAAGCCATTGACGGATATCACTAGAGGTAAAATTTTTGTTTGTTTTAATTTGTATAACTGTCTAAGTTCATATGCCAGTTCTTCGTATTTTTGTTTCTTTTCTAAATATGCTTTTTGGACGTTTTCGTCTAATGGTGTTATAAAATCTATTATTGTGGCTTCCTCCTCTTTCTTCTTAAAATGCACCATATCAGGGCGATTATGCTGGACAGATCGGTCTGTAATAATTGTGATGTTCCAGTATAATTTATATTCAGCATTCTCCAGAATATCCTTTGGGTTATACCTGTACCATTCTATTCCTTCCTCCATTAGCCCAGTTCCCAGTGCTATAGCTTGATGATATATTTTTCCCATTTCATCATGGCGTGCCAGATACTGCCTTGGAGCTAAAATAGAACACCCTGCTGTTATATGTTGGATGCTCTTAGCTGTACGCCTGCATTTCCTACACAGATCACTTTCAACTCTCTCCTTCAAGACATATTTCCTATAGTTTAGTGTCGGGACAACTTAATCTTGTATTGCCAGTATACTTCCTTCGGTTTCTGGGAACAGGTAACCCGCTTTTAAGTAAGTATTTGAATCCAGCATACTAATTGTGGTATTTTTTAAATTTGCTCTATACCTGCCATGGAGAGTTTTACTGGCCCATTCTTCTTCCATTTCCGTCTAACTTCGTACAGTTGGGCTGTTGGGGTTCATCAAGTCAAGAGGGGAATAGTTTTGGTCAATATCTCGGAGGGTACGGTGAAGCGGTAAGTTGTTACTCAAGAAGTAGTTCCTCAGTTTCTGAACTTGTGTATTGTGGCAATTTTCTACATTTAGAAGGCCTCTTCCGCCTCTTGACCTTGGTATATACACGCGGTTCACACTGGACTTTGGGTGGTGATATCGATATTTTGTTAACAGAGTCCTGATTTTTGTGTCAATGCCCCTCAGGTCTGTTGGGGTCCATTTCAAAACACCAAATGAGCACACAATACTAGGTATAGCCCAGGTGTTTAGTGCCGTAAATAAATTCTTTGATGTGAGTTTAGATGCCAATATGATTCTGACACGTCTTATCAGTTCGTTCTTAAACTGTTCCTTGGTTTCCTTTTGGCTGATACCCAGTGATTGGTGAAAACCGAGCTATTTATACCCTTCCTCCTGTTTTATTGCTTCGAATGTTGTTCCATCCATCAGTACGGTGCTCAGCTCGTGGTTTACCACTCCTTTCTTTACATGTATTACTGAACATTTTTCTAGTCCCATTTCCATCTTGATTGCCGAGCTGAAGGATTTGACAACTTCTAGCTGGCTTTGTAGTTTTTCGGGATTGGGTGCATACAACTTTAAGTCATCCATATAAAATAAATGACTGATCTTAGCATTAGCTTGTTTGTTAAGCATATATCCCATCTCACTTTTGTTTAATAAGTAGCTAAGAAGGTTCAATGATAGACAGAACCATATGGGACTTAAGGAGTCTCCCTGAAAAATGCCACATTTTATTCTTATGTCTTCCGTGTTGTAAGATTTTGTTCCCGCCTGTATGTATAGTGTTGTTCTCCAGTGGTACATTAGTTGATGTAGGCACATTTTGACTGCCTGATTAATTTTATATATATCCAGTACCCTTAGAAGCCATGAGTGTGGCACACTATCAAAGGCCTTTTTATAGTTTATTATTATTATTGCATTATTTGTATACATTTAAGGCACTTAAAAAATATCTTACTCTACGTAAATTGTTATAATAGTTTATGAAATATTATACAGGGCGCTGATAAAAATGTTTCAAATGTTAAATCCAAACAACACTATATATACAACTATCAAAAAGTGATTTTATATAGAAATTAGCGTTTCTCTTCTTTAATTTTATTTGTCGTCAAAAATAAATACAATAGTTTCCTATAGTAAAATGCTATCTCTCTATTAGATCATAACTGAAACTATAACGGAAACATATTGTACTAACTTTTTTACAATAGTAGCTACTTCTTGTCAGGGCTTCCAAGTAACACATTACAATTACATAGGGTAACATTCAAAATAAAAAATAGTGAACGAGGGGTGTTAAAAAGCGCCACAGGCGAAACATTTTTTTAAACCTTGCCCAAATGTTGTCAAAAGTTATGTAACCATTATGCGGTTGGTGGGTTTTCCTTAATATATCGCCCAATATAAACCAAAACTTGTTAAACATAAAAAATAAACATTTTTATCGCCTCCGCTTCCTCAAAATATTTTTTGTACGTAAATATTTCTTTTCTGTGCGAAAACCTATAAATAGCAAAAGACAAACTGTTGCCAGATTAACAATTCCTTTAAACTTTATGCCGATAGACATATATTTTTTAGATTTTGTGTTTTGTTTGTAAAAAAGAAGACTTTTTCTATACGCGTTAGAAAAGTACTATCAAAACGAGGACTGTTCTCGAATAGAGAGAGAGAGAGACAGAACGGTTGGCAACCCTACAGTTACAATATTTTAAGACACTTCCACCACAGATTAGGTATCGTATAAGTATACAGATAAAAATCTTGTCCCTAATTCATGGTACGAAAATTATTTTTTATGACGATGAGCAAACGAGTAAATTTTCTTGTGCGCAAAAATAAACTCCCGTTTAAACAGCGTAACAACTAGGCCGGTCAGGCGCTGTGCACAATTTTAGAGGCCATAAGTGGGCGTGCTTGTGCGCAAACTAGTAACCTAACTAGTGCGCGACTCCAAAAATTGGAACCACGAAAAACAATGCTTTTGACGATAAGTTTATAATCTGTATGATCTGTGCTTCCACAGACATACTTATTTCCTTAACATTTCCATAGACTCCAGTAATTTTTGTACCATGACAGCTTATTCCCAAATCCGAATATATCTTTAATTATTTTTTAATGTAGCGTAATTATTTTATAATTATGCTACATTATAATAATCTAATAAATACATTTTAAATAATTTCCTTTCTCGCACAAACGCGTATCAAATTGTACCAAACCCAAAACAAATAAGAAACAAAGAATTGAAGATTATCTAATGACACCGTTAGAAGAACTATTTTTACTGCTTAAGGAAATTATATTTAACGCAACGAAAGTCTATCTCGATTCCATGGGCATTTTAGGCAGCAGAAAACAATATCCGGTCATATTTTTTGTTTTCAATTTGCCGTAGTTAGCGATGCGTAGCACTTGATTTGTTTATGGCCAGAGGCATCGATTTACGCATATTTATTTATACAAGGTCTGATCGTAAATTAATTATATCATAATAAATCTTCTTACACCTTCTAAAACTTCCTAGCATTAGGAAAATTAAATTTATTATTTTTGGTACTGTTTTTTATAATAGGTAACAACTAGAACGTTAAAATTAGTGGTAGGAATTTTTGAATTAGTAGAAAAAGTTAAGCTTCAGTCAGAATCTCGAAATCAGTGGAATAAATTAGTAGTTTCAATTAACCGTAGAAGTTTCTTCACCTAATTTTAATGTAAGCATTCAGAACGTCAAAATTAGTGGTAGTAATTTTCAATTAGTGGAAAAAGTTAAGAAAATTTTGACTTTTCCATTAATTATACTTCAAAATTTGTGAGGAATGTCATATTGGCCTTTGATTATCACCCGTCACGAAAAATTGTTAGAAATCAAAAGTATATTGTTTTATAAGGTAAATATTATGCTTTCTCTATGGATACATCAGACCGCCGCAAGCGGTTGCTAGGATATTTTATTAATTTTAATTGCGTTTTTTAGACATTGTGAATGATCGTAAACTGAAAAGTATAAAGTGTAATAGCAACCACTAATTTATTCCACTAATTGAGAGGTTCTGAAAGAAGCTTTACAAACCTTTTAACTTTTCCACTAATTATAGTTCAAAATTTGCGAGGAATGTCATTTTGGCCTTTGATTATTATCCGTCAAGGGAAGATGTGGTTAGGAAACAAAAGTTTATTGTTTTATAACCTAAATACCTATTGGGCTTTCTCTATGGATACAACTGATTACCACAAGCTGTTGCTAGGATATTCTATTAATTTTAATTGTGTTTTTTAGAAATTGTGAGTGATCGTAAACTAAACAGTGTGAAGTGTAATTGAAACCACCATTTATTCCACTAACTGCGAGGTCCTGAATGAAGCTTTACAGAAAATATAATGTACCTTGAATTTAAGTGACAGACAACAACTGAAACCACATGCTAATCAAAAAGACTTCAATAGGTGATAGGAGAAGTAACTCCCTTATTATTAGGCTTTACAGAAAATATAATGTATAGTCTGTCAAACGACAAAATCTTTGACAGTGATAGATGTGTCTGTGGTTTTAATTTCAAAGTAGTTTATTTTATTTTACAAAGAAATTAGTTGGTACAATTGAATTCCTATATTTAAAATTTGAGTGACAAATGATTACTTCAAAACATTATGAAAAAAAATGTATAAAATTTAAAAAATCTAATCGAGTTATTTAATTTAAAAAAATACCGTATGCGTACAAGCAAAATATATGTGTGCAAAACAAACAAGCATGTGTTTTAAACAAAACACCACATACCAAAAAAATATAAAAAAAACTATTTCTTACTTTCAAGCTTCAAGAAACTTCCTGCATTTATTATTATATTTATCAATATAACTTATATGTAAATAAAAAAAACATTAATATTGCATAGTAATAAATAAGACACAACATAAATAAAACAAAACATTTTATTAATAATAACACTTCTGAATTTTATATTTTAAAAGCTGATCAATTAACTTTAATCTTAATTTTTTAAACCAGTACCTTTTGACATTGTTTCTGCAGTACTAAAATCTATTATTTACCCACTGTGTGATGTTATTTTACTGGTACACCAGTTTTAGTACCATATACAAGATGGTATACAAACTTTACTGATGGTAACTTTATTTGTGTATAAAACTCTTCTGTTTGGGCATCGAATATTAACTATAAACTGTGCTTTGGGTCTACAGTTAAGTTTCCCTCGATTTTTCCTCTACAGAACTTCAAAAAACACAAAATACACAACTAATAACACGAACCAAAATGCAAAAGCAATTCGCAAATCGGTATTTGACATAATTTGACACAAAATTATAACCTATAATTTGGCAAGAGTTTGACACAAAGGTTTGACAAGCGTCAAAAATCTTAAGTCGAGTAAATCTTAAGTAATCTTAAATCATACGCATATGCGTGCGTATATCGTTTATCGTTGCGTCAATCCAATAATATTCAAAATATGATCTGTCGTTTTTGAAATAAACCAATAAAACTGGTTAAAAACAACAAGAGACGGATTTATATATAAACCCATCCATAGTTATATAGTTCCATAGTTTTTTTAATGAAATAAATAGATTGATATGGACGTCAACTGCTTATTTTCTGTCATCGTCTGTCGAAATCTTACCTGAGAAAAAAAAACAGAGTATACCTTGAATTTAAGTGACAGACAACAACTGAAACCACATGCTAATCAAAAAGACTTCAATAGTGATAGGAGAAGTAACTCCTTAACTGAGAAGTACGTACACTGTGTCCAACGCGTCGTGGGTCCATGACAATAACAATTGTGTCTGACATTTTAATTTACACATATATTGTATTTTTTGTCATTTTTGGTTGTCGTGCCTTTTTGTCACCAAAATATTTTAAAAATACACTTAGAAACTAAAAATATTCAAATTTGTATCAAAGTTATTAATTTAGTGATTTAAATAATAATTATATTAGATGCAAAAAACTTTTAATAAACCAGTTGCACTAAAATGATATTTTAACATAGAAAATATAATTTTTTTTCAACATAAATTAATAACATTGAATTTGACCCTTCTTTATTCAATTATAGTATAAAGCTATAAAGAAGTTACGCATTTGTTTATTTTTGGTGGTGAAAATCATGACAATCAAAACGCCTGAGAATGTTTCATATATTTCTCCCAAACCTCGTATAAGGAGACGTTTCAGTCTTAAGTCTATTTACATTTCAAACAATGAGCAATAAAGATAGACGAATTTAGGAAAATGGTGTAATTTTGAAATTATACCGGTTTTCCAACGTAAATAGCTATTTTAACGGCGCTCAACTTACTAAAAACAATATGTTAATATCATAAATAACCCTGTCCATTGCCTAACCTTAGATAATTTTGCCTAATTATATTTATAAGAGGCTCGAGAAAGAATACAAAAGAATATCAGCGCTTATTTTTATATATTTATCAAAAATGAAAGGTATAACTTTACTTTAAAAGGACAAATTTGTATAGAAAAATATAATTTCAGACTAATACCGGATAATTTAGTGTTATACGGGTCATTATTTTACCATAAAAAGCATTTTATGGAAATAATAACTTCATCAGCATTACATAACAGATAAATAACTATTATATACGAGATCCAGTGCAAATTCCGCAAGATCCTCCATTATTAAGTAACATTTAAAATTAGTTATTCTGATTTACCAGAAAATCGATAAAAATTGATGATGGTGAAGATGTTGAAGCCTGTCGATGGCCTGTCGATGTCGTACGACGCGACGCATCCAATTAAGCATGTATAGTCAATTTTGTCTATTTTCTCTGAATTGTTGAATTTTGTTTAATTTACTATAATTTTATCAAATATCTGTTGAACAACTGATATGTTGATAAAGTTATATTAAGTTAATGTCTATTTTCGGACAATCTTGATACGATACCTATTAGATACCTATTATATTATAGTGTTGTAACATTACTACAGTCAATCTGGCAATAAAAAAGGTCTAAACTCCCATCAAATTATCCCCGCTCTGATACTATGCCAGTCGTAAGAGGTCCACTGGAAAAGCTTAAATTCGAAAATTCATATCTCCCCACCCCACCGTTTTTGAGATACTCAAAAAATTTTGGATTTGATTTTCTGGCTAAACCGCAGATCCCACAGTAAGTAACAAACCTTAAAAACCCACGGGGGCAAAGTTAGGGGGCACCAAAGTCACTCAAACGTAGTTTTTTGCATTTTTTTCCGGGTGAAACCATTTTTTCACTGTCGCAAAGTTTTTAATAGTAAAGAGATGTGTAACTTTATTTTACGTTATACTATTTACAAGATTAATGCAATATATTCATTCCTACAATGTGTATGCAACTTTCATGAAATCAGTGACGGTCGATATTTAGGGTACTGCAAGTTACCTTCGCGGATTACGATGTTCACTCGAACTGAGGATCGTTATAACATTTTCTGATCGTTTTGAATTTTTCTTAGGTGCGCCGAAGGTAGCGTTTTTCAGAAAATCAAAAAAAAATGAATTCTATTTTCTGACTAAGAAAATGTTACAGGACATGACAATAGGCCGAAAGGCAGCTGCATCCTCGAATGCTTGCGCAGCAGCCCGCGACCGTTGATTGAAGAAATAAGAAAATGCGCAACCTTATGAACAATTTTGTGGCACAAAACCTGCCCGAGATGTAGCTGGCGTTACCGTCAGCCTGTCCGAGAATACCGAGATTTAGTTTAGCTCGGCGCCGCTGCGCGCTAATAGTAGTTTACAACGCAGAGAGTAAAAAATACTGTACCGTAGTTCTGCTGTGTAAACATTTGGGTTAGTCAGTTAGTCCTAACTCCTCAAAAAAGATTCACAGTGAATTTTAAGGTAAGTGGTGTTCTACCAGTAGATACATTAATAAGTACTATCTCTACTTTTCGGGGGTTCGTTTCTTGAAAAGAGCCTGGTTATTTTGCCACTGAACCAGAAAGTTAAAGAAACAGAAAGCTAGAGATTTTGCCAATAGCAATTAATTTTTGTACCTTATCACTAACGTAGAATCCTAACAATTACCAACTTGTCAGTGGCTTTTTACTCATAAACAAATTAGCCTATCAAACAGAAAATGCTGAGAGATATCAGAAGATACATCTCTCTTGCAGTACATTTATTTACTGTTCAATTTCCGAAGTTTGAAACTTTCGTCATAATTTTTGGCGCCATATTGTTTTTCGCTTGTTTCCTGACTTGGTCCATGAGTTCTATATTAACAATACCAAATTTAATAACAAAATATTAAACAATGACAAATTTATTGTAGCCTACCCGCTGTATAAAATGAATAAATACGTCCTCTAATAATATGTTCATGAATCTTATAAGCAGGAATTGTACGGGACAAACGAATGTTGTAACTTGTTTTGCTACGTGTTGTTCTTTATCTTTCACAATTCCTCTGGAACTTATTCTTTGCACAGTCGAGCATGAAATTCCTGAAGCCTCCGATGCTCTCTATAAAACACGTGAATATTATCGATTTAGTTACAAAATATTAACTCGGTGTTGTCCAAATACATCGTAAACAGCCGACCCAGGTAAAAGGGGTTTTCCAGCATCTTTTTCAAGTTTGAAATAGGTACTCGATAACTTTTAATATGAGCCGTTGTTCTTTTTCACTAAAACGGGACAGCATTTTAAACACAAATTAAATCACAAAAATAACTAAATAAACATAGAAAATCCCACAAAAATATCAAAAAGTGATAAAAATTCTATTCGGGAAACTATCGGAGTCGTTAAAATTTAACGACAACTTTGACAATCGGCGATCCGTATTGTTCGATTTCGGCGAATAATACAAATGCGATGTTTGCCTTTTTCTATTCGTGCACATTAGACAAGGAAGTACGATCCTTTATACACAATGGAGGTGATCCGTATGTAAAAAAAAAAAAAAATAATTGTACGATGTGAAATATAATGGACTTGGCGTTTTTGATGCAAAATTTCCATTTCAAGTGATAAACATGGATAAGAGAGAGAATGACAATCTGTGACGAAAGTTTCAAACTTCGCAAATTGAACAGTATATTTGATAGAGAAGAAAAGAATATTTCTCTATTATTGATTGTTTCCTTCCCAATCTCCAAAATTTTCTGAGGATAATCCTATTCTTTTTGCTCATACCAGGGTCATAATTTCATTCCCTGAGAAAACGTCAGATGCTTTGATATAGTTTAGACTAGGTATAACAGATTACATTAGATTATCTTAACTTAATTAACAAGTTTTTCGTTTTTCTGTGTTTATTTCCAAACAACGGGAACCAACCCAAAACACAACCTTCCCGAAGAATGTTCATTTACCTACTCTGT